GTGCGAATTTCGCAAAAGAACTTATTCCACCAAATAAAAGAGTTTCTCACCCGTCGAAATTACTCATTTGGACAGGGATGAAACATGGTCAGCGTTGTCGGGGGACATCAGTCACAGGGCACCATGAATAGTGGGAAATGTGCATCAGTAATGACGAAAATCTTTCCAGAATTTCATGAAAAAAAGTCTTCCGAAAAAGTTATCGCTTTTTCGGATAACGCTCCGTGTCATGTTCCACGGGAGTTTGGTAAATTTATTTATTTAAGGATTCTGTTTCAATTATTATTTTCTTTTAGACTTCAGAAAAGATGCGTAGCTCTAAGGTCCGGTTCATGCAACTCCCCCCTAATAGCCAGGATCTCAATGTGATTGAAAATCTGTTTTGATGAAAGATGTCAATGAGTTACCTGTACATTGGACATTGGAGGCAAAAGTGCGATACGTAATGGAGCATAAAATAGAAAATGACTTCATAACAAAGTTGGCGGATTCGATGCTGAAGAGACTCGAAAAATTCCTAAAGAACAAAGCTAGACCAATCGACTATTAGTTTACATAAACTTTACATCTTAATTGCTATCTATGTGAATTTGTTGTTAATAAAAACTGTTCCATTCTCGTTAGTTAACTCTTAACTCATCATGGTCTAGGTCAACTGCTACTGACGAAATGGGAATATCCGCTACATTCGGAACCATTCCATCTGTTGAGTATAAACAAATCAGAAAAATTACGACTATAAAGACTCACCAAGGCTTGTTTATTATTATTTGGAAAAAATTTACTTCAGTATAAATGCTGTTGCCTATACGAACAGACAAGTGTTTCACAGGGACTCGTTGCTTCAGTTTCGATTAGACCTGTATATACCGATCTCTATTCGTCTACTGCCTAAATTGATTTAACAGTCAGAAGTGAAACCAAAATGTCAGTTACGTTTTCACTCCTGCTTCGCGTTTCCTCCTTTTGTAGAGTAAACACCGTTCGGTACCTTCAATTAGGCATATATATCTCCAATCTTTAAAGAGACGACGCCAAAATAACCATGGGAGAAAACAAAAGCAGTCAATTTTAGCTTGTACTGCACGCAATTTTGAAGCTTTTGTTTGTTTGCTTTACTTTTGTTGTTGGATACGGAAAACGGTACATTCATACCACTGACTTCGGCTCGATGCCATATCCCGCAATGTCTCCAGCCGAAGATAATCTGAACGTTTGGGGCCCCAGTCGGGGAGTCGGGAAGCTGCGACGGAAGCCGAATTCGAACAACATCTCTTCAACCCTCTACGCCATATTATAGCCTGCGCACCTCGCTGTTTCTTCCAGTCTGAACCAATGTCTGCAAATAGCGCACTGTATGGCGGACGTTATTCGAGCATTCGCAGGATATGCACTAGCCACCTTGTTCAGTGGAAGACTATCTAACCCTAACACTCGTTGTCTGACCTCATCTTTATTCACGCGATGCCGTTACCATATGCGGGAGATGTTACGCAGACAACGGTTGTCGAAGACGGATAGATGTTTGATATGTTGTGCTTGGAAAGGTCAAATTTCGCAATTGTGGAATAACACGGCGCGTATAGTTGCGCAGTACACACGCCCTTTCAGTGAGAGATGTCACAGGTTGGCAAACGCCAATGTAACTCTGATTATGCGTTAAGAGATCTCCTCATCCGCACCTCCACCAGCTGTTATGCAACTCCTGAGGTGGACAAAGCTCTCGACACCTTCCAGAGTGTTGTTGCCCAAAGAAAATGCAGAAACAGGTTCCCGCCAATCTTGCTTCAACATGTTGTACTTCGAAGGTGCAAAGGATATACAAACAATAACATTAATTGCCAAACGATCCAGCGTGTTTTGGATCACCAGTGCGTTGTCATCGAGTAAAGTAATATCATCTCCATACTCTAAGTCTACGACTTCGTTTCCAGGAAGAAGCCCAAGGCCAACGTTCGTTATGCTAAGTAACGCGTTTCGCATAACATCATCTATCGCAAAGTTGAAGAGAGGCGGATAGATAGGGCAACTCTGTTGTGCCCCGCTGGTGGCAAGAAATGGGAGTGAGAGTTCACCATAGGCCCTAACCTTCCCCCGAGGTTTGGCGATGGAGTACATTTAGAAATGGGACATACTTCTTAGTAATCCGTTTCTCAGCAAACAGTTCCACAGCGAAAGGTAATGGATGGAGTTGAAGGTCTCTCTGAGGTCCAAAAACACGACTATAGTTTATCTTTTTGATGTGTGGCGGTATTCCAGTAGCTGACGAAGGGTAACGATTTGATCTATGCAACCACCGTGTGCACGAAACCCGACCTCCTCTTCACGGATTTGTCTTTCGCGAAATGGGCTTGATCTGTTTAACAACCAGACGCTAACCGCTTCGGCGCTATTGGAATCAGACTTGTGCCCCTGGGGTTGGAAGAGGCATTGCGACAGCCCTTCTTGTAGATGGGTGAAACGATCGATTCTCCCCAATTGTGGGGTACAGCTTCGTTCTCCCAGATGTTCGAAAACAGTCTGACAAGCTCTCTTGAGGGAGCTTCTCTATCATCTTTAAAGAGGACCGGCGATAGGTTGTCTGATCCAGACCCCTTGTGGCGTTTCAGGCCTTAGAGTTCCCTTCGGATCTCCCCTTCTGTGGGCGGTTCCATGGAAAGTGACGGTGCACTGTCAAGAGCACTAGTTCGGGCAGTCAGCGCAGGTGACTGGTTGAACTGCGATGTGAAGTACTCTGTCCATCGTAACAAGCATCGGTGAAGACTATACTAGCGTGCCGTCTACTTCACAGATTATTTCACTAGCTCACTGTCTTTTGGAGATGAGCTGGAACAGTTGCCGGGTATTTCCACACCTAGGTGCTGATTTCATCTCCTTTGCACGTAGCTCCTACCAGTCTTCTCGGTTGTCTCTCAATCTCTGTGGATTCTCGCCTCAGAGAGAGAGACGCTGTTCACTATATTTACCGCCTGCCGGAATAATCCGACGCGCGTCAAGAAGTCGGAGAGATCTGGAAAAGACCCAGTGTTTTACAATTCGGCAAGTCAAGCCCTAACTGTGTAAATTAACTGAGTACATTGCGTTTTGAATGGTTACCTGGTGTTGAGCTAAACTCCTTGAAGGGGTAGTATTTAGCCTTGCAGCCAACTCGTTTTGGTAGTCGGCTAGCACGAACAGCTTCGAAGCCTTGGCGAAGTCAAGCTGTTTGCATCCAATAGAGCCTTCTTGGCCCTAACGGTAAAGGCGGTACCAAAGCGTTTGACCACACGTTGATGTGACACGGCTCCCGGAAACACGCAAATGAAACGCTTCTTTTGGGTCTGAAGGAGCCGTCAATCGGATTACTGAGCTCGGATCCTGAATGCTTGTTTCCGAGAGGCAACACATATCAAACACTAGAGTTACGAGCGTATGAACGAAATATGTTTGTTGTCCAATACCCATTAAGGTTCTTACGCTGATCGAAGCTAGTTTAAACGCAGAGTGAGGTCGGAGGAATAAAACAGTGGGCTCCGATTGATACAACACTGGCGAGACAAATGTCGAGAATAGCGGTGAGCTACAAGATGGGTTTGCATCAGTGGAACCATTCGAGACAGGGCATACAGTTGGGGTGCTGTGTCCGGGATGAGTGGAAATGCTGTCTAGCCTACGACAGCCTTACATATTTTTTTCTCCACTGAAAAGTTATACCTGCTTACAGCAATCAAACCGGCGCACTAAGCTGCATGATTAATAGTTACAAAAAACGGAAACTAAAAACCTGTTTATCAGGTCTGCCGTAATGCAATGGAAAGCCTTCGAATAACAACTGTTGCATCATGTTCATCACTGTCACATGTACCGTATCGTCGAAACCTCGAAATACCCGGTAAACGCTGTGAGCACTGCTGTCTTTATTTTGTTTTTTTGTTGTTAGAAATCCCTATAACTAGACACATCTAATCTACTGGGTTTCGAAGCCAATCATGATAAATGGTTAATTGGGAGCATTGAGAAACTTGACCTATGTAAAGTGGTCTTCAAAATCTTACTTCCCATCAGTAATGTATGATAAAACTCTTGTCCACCATAATCGTTAGACGTTCCCGACACAAATCACACAGCTGCAGTTTACTTTCAAGGCTTTTCAGTCATCGAATCCGGTTCAATATCACGCCTAACCTGTCCGGACCTTATATGGTTCGCCACTTCAAGTCGCGGGGCTTAGATTATCCGTTTCCATGACGGAGCAGCAGGTCTTCGTGACTATGGGGTTTTCCCAGTCTGGTATTCACCACACAAATATGTGTAATAAAAAAATTACAAAATTGTTCTTGTTGTTTTCAATACCACGTTAATTCCCCCGAATGGTTCCACGAATATGGTCTCTTGAGATAAACAACTTTCAACTTGAACGCAATGGGTTTAGTAAGTGCTGCGTGTTATCATGCCCATTCCCCACTGTGGCTACCGGTAGTCACGGTTATTGGACATCCGCCGGTTTAGTTCAATTTTTCTTTAATTTGTGATAAATAATATCGCCTAGTGTGTTTTTTGCACACACGCTCAACGTTTCATAACTTGTAACTGAGTGGTTGCACCTTAGGCGCTGCATGGTCAGAGCGCGCGACGCTTAAAACACCAATCATAGTCGTACGACCAGTTGATATACTGTTATCGTAATTGGTGAGTGTTTGTGTTGCATTAACATGTTGCGCACGCTAAGCGCATTGTGCTAAGGGTACAGACGACTGACCGGCCACCAGTTATGTGATGTTCTGTAGTTTCAATCCATTCTTTATAAAAATCGTGTTTCACCTTTGTATTCAAGTAGTTTAGCTCGTAGTTTTTCGGTTAAGTTCCATCAGTGCAGCGTCCACATCTCATGAATATCAGTATAATACACTTTGTGGTCCAACATAGCCCGTCATTCTAGTATCGATTTCCATAGTGCAACCACCATCAGCAATGCTTAAAAACGTCATATTTCTCTTATTCCCTCTTGTGTACATGCAGGCTCCCTGCAATTGACTGGTAGTCTGGGCAATGTGATGAAAGAATCCGTCGCAATCGCGCACACTTTTGCCGGTCTGTTTGCCTCCTCCGGTGCCCCGTGTCCTAGCACCGACGGGTCTGTTAAAAAATATCTCAATCCCACCGAGGCGTCCAAAGCTGCACACTTCCTCCGTCAAGCCGAATTGCACTTGCATGTACCTCAGGGAGCCACACCGAAAGTGAGTCCGTGTTTATCGCTGCCGAGGTCTATAAATTTTCAACTGGTTATCCTATCCTATGACTATCATCTGCCAACTTGTTCATTCGGTCTATCCTGCCTTTCAAACTTAGCTCAAGTGAACACGAGNCTCAAGTGAACACGAGTGGAATTTTTCCTTCATGTAACTCAAATTACAATCAACTTGGGCGATAGTTCATTGTCATAAATAGTCCATAGTCATTGTTTTTCGTACATTTGAACTTGTAAAATTGCAACTAATTTGACTTTACAAGCCAGCCATTAATCAATTTCCTACTGATTCCGTCGTTTGTGTCTGTATCAGCCTTGTTTTTTACTCGGACATCCACCTCACTTTTGTTAGGCGGTTTTCTTACGCAACTTCGGCTATTTGTTTACAAGTCTGTCACTTGATTTGTGGATCCGAAGTTCATTTTGTATTCTGTGACCGATCTTATTGGATAGTGCAGGGCTTAAATCATTGCGTGTGTGCGATGCACAAACACATTTAGCTGTCGCAAGCCGTTACATTCTTAGCATTAATCAGGTGTGATAACAAACCGGATTCAGGCCTTTCCGGGCATAGAGAAACCGCCCAGTGTATCTCTGCTATAGTTAAATCCACGAAGTCAGTTTACTTGAGTGATACTAGTTGCTTTCCAATGATGTGTGTGTACTATGAATAAACAGTTGCCTTCCGTAACAAAAAATCAGTCGCCCTGTTTCCAGGGCACAGTGTCTCTGGGTAATTCTGTGGTCCTCGAGAAATAGCCGCATGTGCTCATAAAAGTCACTGTAAAAAAGTCAAACGTAGTTGACCCCTTCAAGTGGATCGTCTCATTTACGATTTGGCCCTCATGGTCCTGTGGATCTATCCCGTACTCAGATGCCATTACAGCTCCATATGCTTGTTCACTGCTTAGTGTATTTGGTTTTGGCTTACTGCTCAAATTATCGCATCGTTTGCACCCGTTTGTTCACTATCACACTTCATCAGTGCATTTCAGACGAACACTACGTCAATCGTGGGTCGTGTCCAAAAAGTGGTCTCATGCATATAGTGTTTCGTAGAGAGATTGGGATGTCTCGGTTTTTTTGTTACATACTAATATGTGATGAGCTTTGCTGATCTGCAGGTCAAGCTTTAGCTGTCAGAATGGTCCGATTGTATAACCCCGAAGAAATTAGCTTGATTTGAGCTGGGTAACTTGATAATGATCGGTCAACGAGCAGTTGACTCATAACCCATTTTCTTCATAAAAAATGTTGTACTGTGATGTTTTCAGCACATAGTCTGGATTCAGACCAATGTCAAATATAGTAATTTTGTGATCAGCGGCAGAATGGTTAAGCTTAATAAGTACCAGGACAAACTGATAACCGACAGCCTAATTCCTAAAACGTGTAGTGGCCAACCCCATAAGGCCCCCAATAGGATAAGCGTGATTGTTAGCCGGACGATATCAAAGCTGCCTACCACCAGTGGGTGGCCACATTGAGTTTTACCTTCGAATCTTAGCCCCCCCCCAGTGTGCTAGAGACAACTGATTAACCGCTTGGTCATCATTACGCAGCAGTACACCATTGCACGTTGTGTGCAAAAACTGATGGTCCAATGCTGTCTGTTCCTTTTTTATTCTGCTAATATTTTTATTCAGGCTCTTACACCAGTTTTCCGGCTTAATCCAAGACACGGTTTTTTGTGTGTCGGTTGTAAGAACCGAAAATACCCATCATCCGTTTCTTTTCTTTCTGTCCTTCCATATTCAGGATGGTCCTTCTGCCGGTATTACAATGGTTACTGCACTGCTTAGTCTAGCTTGTAACAAACCAGTTCGACCCGACCTAGCCATGACTGGTGAGGTCAGTTTAACCGGTAAAGTGCTTCAGGTTGGTGGTATCAAGGAGAAAGTACTTGCGGTAAGTTCATCCATCTTTTATTCGCATGTCAACTGAACCTACTGAAATTGACAATGCATTCTTGAAAATTTACCGCACTGATTCGCAACCCCATGCATATCTTCAGTCTCAAATTCCACTCATTTGCATCCACCAATTCATTGCTAAATTGAACGTTTCAGTCATTAGTGTTAGTTACCTGAAATGTAAAAAATGTCTTTCGAGATATATCGAAGTGAATGAATAAAAAGTTCGCGATTCAAGTATCGATCGGCGATAGTCCCAATAGGAACGCTGCTCTTTCTTGTAGATTTGTAGATAGCCTTTTTCCTGTTATCAGGATTACGGGACAATCGACTGACTTATACATATTCGCCGTAAATCGAACGGGGCGAGTCCAAACCATCTATTGCGATTATTTCGTCAGTTGTTCCTATATGTGAGAGGTTATGTCAAAGGACCGAAATAGACCGAATTAACCAAACTCGCCTAAACCATTGGGATTTATCTAAAAGTGCTGCAGTTCTTCTCATGGCTCGAATAATATAGCCTTTGCCAATAGATTGTGGTTGTATGTTCTCACCTGAATTTTGATAGCCTCTGATAGCAGTGGAACGTTTTCAGATGCTCAGTCCGTATGGTCCACATTTACTGATGTGTTTCGATTGTTCGCAACCAGTACAATAATCTAATTTCATCTGAATCATTTCCGCTTTGCACGTTTATAGGCCAAACGCGGAGGAGTCATTTGTCTCATCATGCCCGAGACCAATCGTAAAGATTTTGACGACTTGGCCCCGTTCATCAAAGAGAATCTTGAAGTACATTTTGTCAGTCATTACAATGAAGTGTTCCCGGTCGCCTTCTCTTGATTTGAGTCCATAAACTGATCGTTTTATCACCTACCGTTTCCTGTCCTTCCATCTTTGACTTGGCACATGTCCATTCTTCTGCATATACTTATTAATCCATACACACACGCACGTGCGCAAGCCGTAATCGCCACATCTCGCACATACCCGTACAAAAGTGGTTCTCTTTTTATTGCATCACACCGATCGCTGTTTCTATCGATATCTTTTGTTTTAGTTAATAAAATGTTATGGAAAAACCATGTGAGCATTCTCGTTCGCTTCGATCGTTTGCTGTCGTTTTGAGGTTGTCGTTGTTTCTAGTTGTTCATAGAATCTTTTCATTCACCCCCTTGTTCTGTGGACACCTCGATTGCTAACCTGGGGTACTTTCGGAGATCCGGTACTGTCTGCTTTTGGCATCGTTTACAATTCAGTGCGGCATAGCAGTTTATCAAGTTAGCCGATCGTCGGATCGTTAAAAGCTTGGTGTTGGGAACAATCAATAACCCCAATGTTATGATTACATTTAGGCTCGAGACATTCATGGCCCGAATTATCCGGCAGTTTTCACCAACGTACTGCGTACCTGAAGGTCCGATCCATATCTCCGTCACTATTAGACAGTTCTGCTTTCCTCCGGCAAGATACATTTTACCGATTGGAGTCTGGTATAATCCACCATTCCGTGACTCAGGGCTTTGATCGCTTTTGACCACAACTAAGCGCTAGGTCCTTTCTGTCCGTTTTCTTCCTTGTTCTGTTCATCGCACGATGATATCAAATAAAAATATTTTAATTGAGGTTTTCAGTTTTTAAAACCAATAACCATTCCACTTTCGTGTGCCGGTTTTGGTTGCTGTCTTTTGGCCGCTCATTCCGATAAAAGAGCAGAATGAAGATTGGAATGCTCGGAGAAAATTCAAAGGGAAGGAAGAGAATTCAAAGAGGCTGGGGTTATAAGAATAATGAGATGATGCACGAGCGCCATTGTTAGCGACACTCAGCTATGTTACCCAATATCTCTAACCATCGGTGACCATCATCTCGGGGTCCTCAGCCTGGGAGCCTAACGGGACCTAGGTGACCCAGTCTCCTGGTTAGAGTTTTCATATGTTCATGTCAGGTCTTGGTTTGACCGTCCTTGACCTTTTTCCAACCACTACCTGCCTCGGCAA